TTTTTTTTCTCAAGCAGACCCCCCGGTGGGAGCTGCAGGGGGTGCAGCTGCTCCAGGGCAGGGGGGGTTTGTGGCCAGGCTGATGCTGGGGCGAGCGTGCGGGGAGAGATGCTGAGCGGGAGCTGGGCCGGGCCCTGCAGAAGGGACTGTGCCTGTTGGGGGGGTCCAGGGGAAACCCCCCAAACCCCTGCACCTCCTGCCAGCCAGACCCAGAGAGATGTGGCCACTTCCCCGAGGTGCTGGGGCTGCCCTGGGCTGTGGAGCTGGGATGGGAAATGAGCAATAAAGGGAGATGAAGTTTCCAGGCACTTCCTTGCTGCTGCAGTAATTTATTATTACTATTATTATTATTATTTATTACTTTTTTCCACCCTTGCTGGTTTTGGGGCTGCCCAAGGTGCAGCCAGGAGAGGGGGTGGAGGGTCCCAGCCTGCCCTGCAGCTCCTTCCCTCACCAGTCTGGGGGTGATTTGGGGCTCTCTTGCTGCAGCTCTGAGGCTCTGGAGCTGATGTGGTGGCACCTGAGGTAGGTCCCGATTGCCTGGGGGGCTTCAGAGGGCTTTGCTCCCAGCTCTGCTGGAGGGGACACTGGTGGTGATCAAGCCCAGGGCTGTGCAGACCTTCTTGTGGTGTCTCTCCAGCCCCCCAGGTTCTGCTCTTATCCAGGGGCTCTGCTGCTCCCTGTGTGGGGCTGTGTCTGTGGGTCCTGTTGGGACCTGTCTGTCCTGGGGAAGGGGCAGAGCAATGTCCCCTCAACCCTGTCCCATTGCCTGCCCTGCTGGCAGGGACTGAGCCCTGGGGACAGCTGGGTGGCACTGAAAGAGAAAAGGCTTCATCAAAGCCACTCAGGGAAGAGGTTGCACAGGGGCTGGGGTGCCCCCCAAACCCTGCAGGTGGGTTCTCAGGGGCTTTGGGTGTAAATGCTTGTTCCTTTTTAAGTAGCACAGGGTAGAAATGACAAGTTGATCCAGTTGTGCTGTGAGGACCCAGCTGCACCCACAGTCTCCTTGTGCCCAGTGACAAATGGTTCTGTGTCCATTGCCTGAGCTGGAGTGACAGAGGGGGGGGAAAAGGACACCCCGTGTGTGAGGGAAGGGCCTGCACTGTCACTCAGGGACATGTTTTCCCCCAACCCTCCCTCCAGCAGCCCTGTCAGGTCTTTTAGTTTCCTGGTTGGAGCAACAAGCTGCTCCAGATCCCCCCTTGGCAAGGGCTGTGTGTTCCCTGGGGGTGTGCCAGCCAGGGGGTGGTACCATTGCTGTGGGCTCCCCAGAGAGGCCTGGGTTCTGCTCAACATCCCAGGATGAGATACTGGGGCTGTTTTGTGCTACAGGGACTCCCTCAGAACTTCCCCTCCTCGTAGGTGGAGGATTTGGCCCTACCAAGAACATCCTGCTGGGAGCAGGGGCCCCAGTATGAGAGCAGAGTGGGATGTGGGGGTGTCAGGATGACAAGTGCTGGGAACTGGAGGCCAAAGATCCTTTCCTGGCCTGTGTCCTGTTAATTAAAGTCTCTGTTAACGAGGCACCTCTGGCTGCAAGATCCTGCAAGGCCCTCTGTGTAACTCATGGCAGGGACTGATGCTGGGGGGGGTGAAGGCAACTGCAACTTTTAAAAACAGCCAACTTTATTTCACCTTGGAGCAGAGCTGAGCAGCCTTGCTCCTCCAGCTGCTCCAGCCTGGTGCCTCCTCTGGATGGCAGGGAAAAGGGCCTCACAGCCCTACCTGTAGGAATTGGCCTTGTGTTTAGGCAGGAAGGTGAAGTTGGAAGGTACAGGTCCCAGAAGGAGCTCACTGGAAGAAATAAAGAAATAAAATGAAGGAAGGGAAAGGGGGGAAGGGAAGAAGGGAAAGGGGGGAAGGGAAGAGGAAAGAAAAGAATAAAATCAAACCAAAACAAAAACCAAGGAGAGGTTCAGGACAACAGAGCCACTGGTGCCCAGCTGGCATGTGGCCCTGTGGGTCTCCACTGCTGGTGGCTGCAGTTAGCCATATCAAACCAACCCTAACCCTCCTGAAAATGTGGGCCTGCTGCACACAAACACCTCTGGTGCTGAGCTTTAGCCCCAACCCAATACTGGAGGGAAGCTGATGCATAAAGGGGTTCCTGAGCTTGGGGACCTGAATCTCAGTTGGCAGCAAGGCCTAAAATCAAGCCTCTGCAAACCTCCCCCACCTCTCACTGGGCTCCTGCAGAGCCAAAACCCTCTTGGTGCCAAAACGTATTAAGGTCAGATCCTGAGATGATGTAAATTCTGTTAAGATCAGATTCATCCCAGGGTAAGATTCAGCTGTTTCACATTTTGGAACACACAGATTTCTGGAGCAGTAATTTTCTTTCTAGTCAAGGAGGTTTCACTTCTTTCCTGGATGCTGGTTCAGCACAGCATCACTAAAACTTTCCATGAGACGTCAGAGCAAGAGGATCTCAGCAGGGCCCAGGATTGCTCAGCAAGAGTCTGAATCCACAAGCACAAAAGGAGAAACTGAGTCTGCTCAGTCCTGCTTCTGGTTTGTGTCTCAGGAAAATGAGTTTGAATGAATTAATCCAACATTGGCTTAAAATGGTGAGTTCTTATCATGGAATCTTAGAATGGTTTGGGTTGGAAGGGACCATAAAGATTATCTAAATCCAACCCCCTGCAGGGGCAGGGACACCTCCCACCAGCCCAGGTTGCTCCAAGCCCCATCCAACCTGCCCTTCAACACTGCCAGGGATGGGGCAGCCACAGCTTCCCTGGGCAGCCTGGGCCAGGCTCTCACCACCCTCACACTCCACAATTCCCTCCTCATGTCTCACCTCAATTTCTCTCTTCCAGTTTTCATCCATCCCCCCTTGTCCTCTCCCTCCCTGCCCTTGTCCCAAGTCCCTCCCCAGCTTTCCTGGAGCCCCTTCAGGCCCTGGAAGGTGCTCTAAGGTCTCCCTGGAGCCTTCTCTTCTCCAGACTCAACCCCCCAACTCTCCCAGCCTGGCTCCAGAGCAGAGCTGCTCCAGCCCTGGGATCATCTCCGTGGCCTCCTCTGGACTCTCTCCAACAGGTCTGTATCTCTCCTGTGCTGAGGGCTTCAGAGCTGCATGCAGGGCAGCTGGAAGTGTCTGTTACCTGGCACTGCAGAGACCCCAGGTCTTGGTGTAGCCTGATCTGGGCAGATTCTGCTTGAAAAATTGCATCTAAAAATTCTGATCCAAACTTGTAATGTGGCTTTAGGCAGCTGTTCTAACAAAATAGATGAGGATTAGGAAAACCAGAGATTGTAGCCATGCTCTGGTTTTGCTAATCTCTGTTTCCACAAGCTGGGAAGTAGCTCCCATTCCCAGCTCTCATTCCAGCTGCCTTTGAGCTTGCCAGTATCTGAGGACTTGTAGATGTGGGGGAAAAAAGTTTCATGCACTTTGCTGCATGAGCTCAGAAATCAGATACTGAAAAATGGGTTAAATGGGTTGCTCAGGTGTCTGAATTTGGGGATGGAGATGGGGACTGTCTGGGCCTGGCAGGGTGGGATTGGCCTGGCAGAGCAGAGGGATTGGATGCTGTGCCCCTGAGATGTCCCACTGCTCTGATCTTTGTCACTTCCTACAACTGTCCTGGGATGGAGAGCATGTCATGAGAGAGGTCAGCTGGCCTCCCACTGCAGTGGGTGCTGGATGACCTGCTGAAACAGATACAGGGACTGAGAGAGCTCCTCACAGCAGCTCCAAGCTCAGCCAGAACCTCCAAGCCCTGGTTTAACCCTTGCTGCTTTCCTACAGCCTCGCCAACCAGGGACAGTCATGGTCCCCTCTGCAGAAGGTGCACACAGTGGGGCTCTGCAATGTCCCCTCCTAGCAATTTAAGTGAGTTTAATGCTTTATTACCTTATTTTAATCCAATCATCCACATTCTGGCTGGCCATCAGTGTCTCCAGGTAGTCTCTCCCCATGTAATAAGGTGGTCGCTCATTAATTTTCTGAGGTAGGTGTTCTAATAAACCAACAGGAATATACCTGCAGTGAAAGGTAACAGCACCATGAGATGTTGTTCAGTGGGTGCAGGATCCCTGTGTTAAAGATCCTCTCTCCTAGGAGGAATTACCTGCACAGGAATGAGAGCCATTCCAGCAGGAACTTCCTGGTTTTCTCCACTCCCTGAGTATCCGACCCCCAGTGCTCAAGGCCATAGTTGGTGAAGTCTTTGAGGATATCAAACCTCTGGCTGGAGGAGATGTCCCAGTGTCTCTGTTCCTTAATTTCAGTGAAAAGCCAGGGTTTGATGAGTGCCCCTCTGTAGGG